TTCTCTGAAAAGCCTGGCCACCTGATTTTTCCTTTTATAATTATTATGTCATAGTTGATATTGGCAAAAGAATGTAACTATCACACAGGTAATGATGAACAAGAATAGCGACAGGAAGATCTGTGGGCCTTAGAGATCACAGCCAATACCATTGCTTCAGCCTGTGGGCTCCTTTCCCGTACCACGCCCTGCCTACCCCAAGAAGTGACCAGCATTCTGAATTTTATTTCTATAAACTCCTAGTTTTAAAAAGTAAGCCCATACATGTACAACATGAAATAATATACTATTTAATTTTGCTTGCTTTATAAAAATGATATTATACTATACCATACCCAGTCTTCTTTTCACTTGCTTTTTTTCACTCAGTATTAATGTTTCTAAGGTTCACCCATGTGGCAAGGAGTTTATTATTTTCGCTATGGTGTGTAACATTTTATTGCACAAGTATGGATAAATAATTGTTCTCATTCTCCAGCTACTTTGGACAAGGGTTGTCTGGTTGTTATTGCAATATTGCTGTGAATGTTCCTATACATAAATTCTGTGCAAATGCTTCTCTAGAGTTTATACTGAGAAAGAAGTAGAATCAAACGAACCTTAGGCACGTGTGCAAGAGTTTCTCTAGGGTAGAATTACTAGGCTATAAAGTATGTGAACGTTCAATTTATGTTTTCCAAAGGAGTTGGTCTAGTTTAGACTCCTGTCAACAGTGTATAAAAATTCCGATTGACTCACACCCTCTCCAAGATTTTGACAGTGTCCAACTTCTTAATTTTTGCCAACCCAGTGGGCGAAAAGTGGTATCTCACTGGTGTCTTACTTTGTCTCCCTGATTACTAATGAGATTGAGTGTTCTTTGATGTATTTATGGACGACTCAAGTTTACTACTCTGTGAACTACCTGTTTCTGTCTTTTGCCCATTTTTCTACTGGGCTGTTGGCTTTGTATTTATTCATTTAATTATTGGACTTTGAAGATTAAAAGAAATCCTCTTTACATATGTTTTATTGGTCATACATATTGCAAATATCTTCTCCTGGTTTGTGGCTTTTCTGATCACTTTCATCACGGATCTGTTGTGAAACAGAAATTCTTAATTTGAAAGAGGCCAAATTTATAATTTTTTTTCTTTTGTAGTTTGTACTTTCATGTTTTAAGAAATCTTTGCCACCGTGAGGTCCTAAAGATACTCTCCTACATTTTCTTCAGATATTTTAGAGTTTTGCCTTTTACATCTGAGTCTGAAGACCCACCAGGATTTGATTTTTCTGTATGGTGTGAAGCAGGATCTGATTACAGGTTTTTTTGGGTTTTTTTTCCATATAGTAACCAGTGGATCCTGTACCATTTACTGAAGAATTCGTTGTTTCCTTAGTGATCTGCAGTGCCTCCTCCATCATATCTCAAGCACCCACCCCCATCTCCTCTTTCTGTTGCTGTTTCTGAGTTCTCTAGTCTATTCCAGTGAGCAGTTTGTCTATATCTGTGCCAGCAAACACTGTCTGCATTACTTCAGCTTTGTAATAAGTCTTGATATTTCTCTTCAGGAGTGCCTTGTTTACTCTTAGATCTTGGCTTCCCCACATACATTTGAGAATTATTGGTCCAATTCCTCAACAATTCTATCTGAATTTTTTTACAGGCACTGTGTCCAATCATTAGAGCAGTTTGGGGAGAAGTGCATATGTATGAGGTTTCCAAAAGATTATATTACGGTCTTTGAATAGCTGATGGTCTAGTGGGGAAGACAGATACAGACACATTGGTATAATACCATGTGGTAAATATTATATAAACATGAAACATGGAGGAGCTAGGGAAAGTGTTATAGAGAAGATAACATATGTGAAGGCTCTCAGTGAACAAAGATTCTGTATTCTGGCTTCAGATGTAAAAAGTCTGTCTATCCCGTTTTGTCAGACCCCCTCAGGAGATAACCACCAAGGTTACCCTCATTGAAACCCTAGAAATTTTGTGATGGTTGCACGGTGGGATCAGTTTGCCCTGGACTTAAACCCAAACGAGTATGCCCCATCCCTTCTTTTCTCTGTATCCAAACCTGGACATCAGCACATGGTATCTCTTTCAGTATTATGTTCACCCCACAGCCTACGTGTTGGTTACCTTCATAGGTCTGACTTGTCTTTCCCAGAGAGACCTGCTTAGGGTCTCTTCAGTCTTTTTATGAAGCCGATTTGTTTTACAACTCAGTTTTACAAGTTCAACTTTCCATAGCTTTGCCTTCTAGACCATGTTTTCCTGGTGGTACGTCAAAAATCAATTAGTACAGAGCCCTGAGTGCCTATTGTGGGGCTAGGCAGTTTCAGGGCATGCAGAGCCAAGGGATATGGGGTCAGGCAGACCTGGGTTTGAGTCTTGGGTCTTTATTAGCTGGGTGACTTGGGCCAACCATTTAATTTTCCTGATTACGTGGTTCTTTGGGTATAACAAAAGATGATAATTCTGGGTTCAGATAATATATTTAAAGGATCTTGTACATATAATTTTTTTTTTTTTTTTGGTACGCGGGCCTCTCACTGTTGTGGCCTCTCCCGTTGCGGAACACAGGCTCCGGAGGCGCAGGCTCAGTGGCCATGGCTCACGGGCCCAGCCGCTCCGCGGCATGTGGGATCTTCCCAGGCCGGGGCACGAACCCGCGTCCCCTGCATCGGCAGGCGGACTCTCAACCACTGCGCCACCAGGGAAGCCCATGTACATATAATATTTTAATCAAAGGAAGAACAAAAAAGAAATGTTAGTTTCAAAAAACTAGAACGGAGCTGCGGTGCCGGGGCGGGGCGGAGGTGCCGACTATCCCCATGGCGGCTGCGCCGGAGCCCGGGGAGCCCCGGCTGGGGAAGGTAGAGTTAGGTCATGCGACGTTGGAGTAGGAGGATTTATCTTGGTGACCTTAGGACGCTGGTTCCATTGTAGGTATAATTATGCAAAGCTAAGAATCCAGGAAAGACTTGCCAGAGAAGGAATTAAAAACAAGATTTTATATGAAAGTAGCCACCTTGATCCTGAAAGAAAACAACAGCGGCAGCAACAGCAATTGAGCAGTCTTGAGCACAGAAAACCCAGACGCAACTCACTTCCGTGTGAACAAAGCTGAGATCAACTATAGAAAGCATTTTATGTACCAATAAGGCTTTCAATCAAGTAAATAAAGTATGTGTAAGTTGTAGTCTTTTTTACACGTGTATGAATATTTACAAACTTATTCTGGCCCTGTATCTACTGTCAGTATAGCACATAGTGGCCTCGTACTTAAAATAAACCTCGTGTTTAACATGCTTAGAAAAAAAACAAACAAAAAAATAGAATAGAAGATGATAACTTGCTTCTGAGATAATTTTTTCCTCAGAGGAGCATATGAAGTAATGGGAGGTAAGACCCTCCAAGAGGACATGTACTAAGGGAAAAGCACATGCTAATAAGGTCCAAAAATCACGTTGACACTCTGCTTTGATCCAGAAAAGATTGAAGATACCACATAAAATAGATAAATGAAAGCAAAGTAACAACTTAGAAGTGATGAAGAAGCAAAGCAAAATCAAGGGTGAGGCTTACAGTGAAGGTTGAAAGGAGGAAGTGCAGAAAAATGCACACCAGAGAGTCCATTCCACACACTTGCCTTAAGGGGGCACATATTCCATGCTGAGCTTTCCAGTGGCCCCACCAATAGTCATAGTGGCAACTTACAGATAACTACGGGGAATGCCAAGTACAGGAGAAGGATCAGCACGGAGACAGGCTGGATAGGGAAGGCGCCTTGACATTAATGAGGTTTGAGCCAGGTTCTGATGGACATTGGAGCTATGGATTCCAGAGGGAGCCACCCAAGCAAAGTATAAAGGAGGAGAATAAAGAGGTCGTCCTGGGGTATAGGGATCCTTTTGGCTGGTCTCAAGGTAGGGCAGGCAGACGACTGAGGTCTTTAATACCAGCCTTTAGATTTCACACAAAAGAGAGCCCTAGCTCTCCCTGATGAGAAAATGACCTGATGGGAGTGGTATTTGGAGGAAATTACCCTGGCACCACACAGCTGCAATTTTCCCCTTTGCAAATTATAATTCATCACGGGCATTTAGGAAAACGCTGTCATGCATGTCTCTCCTGATATGGTTCACATCTGGCTCTGCCATTGGCAATACAAAGTATTTAGGAAATCTGTGCAGCATTAGTGTCTAATAACCTTTACTTTAAATACAGTGAAGCCGACCACAAACTTAGAAATAGCACCCATTCCTCCAGAGTAATTTATTCCAGGTTCTCTATGTGGCTGAGGAAATCCCTTGCTGTGGCTGCAAGTCTGGACACGGGCATGAGTGTTGAAAACCAGGGAGGTTGAAACTAATCTTAGAAATAAGAGTAAACTGAGTGACTTTCACTTTCAGTTTGCTTTCCTTGCATGTATAAAGTTTTGAGAGTTTGAAATGGCTCTAGACTGAACAGCATTCTACATAAAACAGTACAATCGCCAGGATTTTCTTTTTAAAAGAAAGTTGTATTTTGTAGCTTGTGGACATCATGATCACTTCAAATGTTTGGATTTTAAATTTAGGCTTGAAGTTTGGCTGAACAGATTTTTCCTCTGTTGTATTTTAAGGGACTAAGGAGCTCCTTCAGTCCTTAGAAGAAATCAAATTAATAGCTTCTTAGTTGTTCAATGACAGAAATGCATAGAAGGTAGGAACTAGTACCATAGGGGGTAGGAAAATATCTGAGGGCGCACACACTTTCTCAGCCCAAGAAGAGCTCTGGGCAAAACTGTAGGCAATCTCTTCTTGACCCCGATTCGTTGTAATCCATGTGCAATCCATCCTCTGGGACAGCTGTTACGAGGCTATGCAGGCTATGTGGGGAAAGCGTGTCCTTGCTAAACTTTTGAAGGAGAAGGGGAAAGAGCAAGGCTTTATTGCTCTGACAGTCATGAATTCATATAATCCAACTGGTTGTTTTCTTTGGAGGCCATTCCCAGCTGAGTCTTGTGAAGCAAGTTGGATTTGTTGAAGGGGGAGCCGTAAGATGGACCACAGACCCATCTTCCTTGATTTGTCCATAACTCTCAGCTGGGAAGAGAATTTCATTTGTCAGGGACAGAAACCCTTGGGAAAGACAGTCCTGATGAAAGGGTCTAGATTTTTAATTCTTCCACGCCTATGTGGATTGCTCCAGTTGGGATGGTCTCTGTAGGGAAGTGTAAGTAAAATCTGGAAGGGAAACAGAAGGTGTAGAGTTTTGTTAAGTCAATTTTTCTTAATGAAGTTCATTCATTCACTTCCTTAACAAATATTTGAGAGTCTTCTGTGTACTAGCTGCTGTGCTCGGTGCTGAAGGTACTAGGGGATATAGAGACAAAGAAGAAAATCATGGCACATGAATCACTGATGTGACGTATGGCAGAGTAACACTTCTCAAAGCGTGTAACAAATGATGATGCCCATGCCGTAAAATTCTCTTGCCCCCACCCAAACAAACAAAGTAGAGAGGGTGATTTTTTTCTCAAATAAATTTGGGAAATACTGTATACTCTGTTTTGGAGTTACATATTGTATCATAGAATAAAAAGGGCTTTGATAGGTTCTGCTCTCAATAACTGTGCTCTTCTTTGTTTGATCTAGCATTTGTCAAAAGCCTCTAACCATGGAAATCCACCTACTGATACCTGGGGGACTAGTTTTCTGTGAAACACCCTTTGGAAATCACGGGTAGAGGAAACTCAGTGGAAATTATCAAGTGTTAAAAACTCTCAGGATCACAAAGCTGGCTGTGGTTAGTGGTGGTCAAGGGGTGCTGCCACTGAGTGAAATCCACTGCAGAAGCCACTGGGCTTGTCCTCTGGGGCCACCAAAGACAGATGTGTGCAGTACCAGGGCTCTCGCTGTGTACCTTCCCTGCAAGAAATGACCTTTCTCCACCCACCCACTCACCCCACTCCAATTCGTATGTTTTCACAATCCTGGCTCCAAATTCACCTTTGCCTGGGAGTATTCTGTAAAGTGGCATCTTTAGAATAAAAGAAAAATTACTTTTATTATTTTATTTTCTTATTACCACGGCAAAGCATGCGTATCATAGAAACACTACGAAATGAGATGAACCAGTAAAAGGAAATAAAGCCCATCCAGAAATAACTACTGTTAATGTCTTAGTGACCATCCTCTCAAAGCTCTCCTCCACCCCTGACACACACACACACACACACACGTATCAAAATGGGATAATTTGACCTTGTTCACTCAGTACTCTACTGCGATGGGGCCGTCTTCTTCTCATTGAACTTGCCATGCCTCACACAGAGAGTGACACTCTGCAAGCGTCCAATAAATATGTGATGAACGAATGACCAATCCTAAGGTCTCTTCTAGCTCTGAACCCGTTTGATCTTTGTCATTCTTTTACTCTGTGAATCTTCCATGCATCCTCAACATACCCTGTACTGGTTTTTTAAAAATTAGGAGACTTCAGTTTTTAGAACAGTTTTCAATTTACACAAAAATTGGGCAGATAATACAGAGAGTCCCCATATGCAGTCCCTCCCCACCAAAACCGTTTCCCTATTATTAACATCTCATTAGTGTGGAACATTTGGTACTGTCAGTTTGTTCTGTTTTGTTTTGTTTTGAACCACTCTGATAGATGTGTATTAGCAGCTCACTGTTGCAATTCCCTAATGATACATGATGTCATCTTTTCATGTATTATTTAAAGTCTGTATTTTTATTTAGTGAGGGGTGTGTTCAGATATTTTGCCTATTTTTTAATTGGGTTGTTCATTTCTTATTGTTGAGTTTTATGTGTTCTTTGTATATCCAGTGATAATTTCACTGGATACAGAACTCTAGGTTGATGACTTTTCCTTCAATACTTTAAATATTTCACTCCATTCTTTTCTTGCCTGCATGTATTCTGAAGAGAAGTCCAATGTAATTTTTTTTTTTTTTTTTTGCGGTACGCGGGCCTCTCACTGTTGCGGCCTCTCCCGTTGCGGAGCACAGGCTCCGGACGCGCAGGCTCAGCGGCCATGGCTTACGGGCCCAGCCGCTCTGCGGCATGTGGGATACTCCCAGACCGGGGCACGAACCCGTGTCCCCTGTATCGGCAGGCAGACTCTCAAACACTGCGCCACCAGGGAAGCCCCCAATGTAATTTTTATCTTTGATCTTCTACAGATCAGGTTTCTTTTTTTCTTAAAAAATTTTTTTCTCTTTGGCTTTCTGTAGTTTGATATAGATTTTTTGGGTATTTATTCTCCTTGGTATTCTCTGAGCTTCTCTGGATCTGTGGTTTGGTCTCTGTCATTAATTTTGAGACTTTTTCAGCCATTACTACTTCAAATATGTCTTCTGCTCCTTTCTCTCTTTCTTCTTCTTCTAGCATTTCCACTTCACATTTGTTCTACCTTTTGTACTTGTTCCACAGTTCCTTGGTATTCTGTTCCATTTAAAAAAATCATTCTTTCTCTTTGCCTTTCTTTTTAGAGATGACATATCTTCAAGCTCACTGATTCCTTTTAGTTTCCATTGCTCTGTTTACATTACCCATCTGTTCTTGCATGTTGTCTCATTTTCCTGAGAGCCCTTAACATATTAATCATAGTTGTTTTAAATTCCCTATCTCATAATTCCAAAAACTATGTTATGCCTGAGTCTCTTATGCTTCTTTTGTCTCTTCAGACTATGTTTTCTAGAATGTCATCTCCTTTTTTTGCTGAAAGCTGGACATGATATATTGGGTAAAGAAACTGAGATAATTAGGCTTTTAGCATGAGCTGTGCTATGTTTAATGTCTTCTGCCACTGTAGGTGCCAGAGGCTCCATTTTCTTCTGGTTTCCTTGTTGTTTTTCCTTCTCGTGTTGTCTTTATGTCTCCCTAAGCACTTCTTAAATAGAATCTGTGTCTTGCAGCTCTTGGTTGTATGCCACTGTAATTGTAGTGGAGCCCTGCTGGTGTAGTGATTGGATGTGGGTGGGGGAAGGTGTTTTATAATTTTATGATTAAATGTCAGGTTTTTAGTGGGCCTGAGTCCCTGGGCTGTGGTCTTCAGAAATGTTCCTTAGCCTTTTCCCTCCCCTTATATGAGACAAGAAGACTAGAGGGGGTTAGAGGTGGCTAATTTCCCTTTTCTTAGGTTGATTTCTTTTTTTTTTAATTAATTTTTTATTTTTATTTATTTTTGGCTGCATTGGGTCTTCATTACTGCGTGTGGGCTTTCTCTAGTTGTGGTGACTGGGGCTACTCTTTGTTGCAGTGCGTGGGCTTCTCATTGCGGTGGCTTCTCTTGTTGCGGAGCAAGGGCTCTAGGCATGTGGGCTTCAGTAGTTGTGGCACATGGGCTCAGTAGTTGCGGCTCACGGGCTCTAGAGTGCAGGCTCAGTAGTTGTGGTGCACGGGCTTAGTTGCTCCACGGCATGTGGGTCTTCACGGACCAGGGCTTGAACCCGTGTCCCCTGCATTGGCAGGCAGATTCTTAACTACTGCGTCATGAGGGAAGCCCTCTTAGGTCAATTTCTGTTAGAGTACAGGTCTTACTTATGGAGAATGCTCTGGACTTACGTCACAAGGGTTACTTTTCCCCTGGTATAATTAAAAATTGTTACTTCCCTCCTCCCTCTGCTGGGAACAGGAGGGAATTGTCCTCCAATCTTCACTGTGAGAACCTGGTAGGAATCTTTGAGGTAAAAACCATGAAAAGGTACCCTAACCTCCTTCCCCCAAAATCTGCCCCCAACCCCCACCAGGCTTTCTAAATCTCAAATTGTCCACACTCAGCCTCCATTAATTCCTCAAAATGACCATTAAAGTGTTCCTACTGGTCACTGCTTCTAGTGGCTTCTGCTTCAGGTAAGCTGATCTCAGCTTTCATTTTCCATATGCACCTGTCTCTCCAGATTTCAAGACGGTAGTTTGTCCTGTGATTTAAATTCTCTGATGTTCCTAAGAAAAGTTGTTGGTTTTCAATTTGCTTAGTTTTTTTTCTTGTTGTGAGTACAGGACTGATGACTTTCAAGCTCTTTAAATGTCAGAGTTTGAACCAGAAGGTCCTCTAGATTTTCACTTGATTCACTTAATGGTCATTTATTGAGCACTACCTGTTGCTAGGACATTATACTTAATCTAGTGTGGGACACAGGCATAGCCAGTCCGAGCCTCTATCCTCAGGGACCATCTGAGGTTATTTTCTTTCTTTTTTTATAAATTTATTTATTTATTATTTTATTTTATTGGCTGCATTGGATCTTCGTTGCCACGCGTGGTCTTTCTCTAGTTGCGGCGAGCGGGAGCTACTCTTCGTTGCGGTGCATGGGCTTCTCATTGCAGTGGCTCCTCTTGTTGCGGAGCACGGGCTCTAGGCACGTGGGCTTCAGTATTTGTGGCTTGTGGGCTCTAGAGCGCAGGCTCAGTAGTTGTGGTGCAGGGGCTTAGCTGCTCCTCGGCACGTGGGATCTTCCCAGACCAGGGGTCGAACCTGCGTCCCCTGCACTGGCAGACAGATTCTTAATCACTGCGCCACCAGAGAAGTCCCTGAGGTTATTTTCATGGTGTATACTTTGTCTCTCAAACTGGGCCAGGGTTCCCCATTCCTGGTCTGTGTGTTTATATTCTGGCTTCCTCAGGCAAGTTTTTCTCAAACAAGTCCATAGATCTACATTCTCAAGAGCTCAACAGTTCTCCAAGAACACTTTAAAATTTCATGTTACCATTTTAATTATAACATAAAATTTAGGATAGTTTAAGGATATTCTAGAACAGGGGTTGGCAAATTATGGCCCATGGACCATGGACCAATCTGGCCCTCTACCTGTTTATTTGTATAACAAGTTTTATTTTTATTTATTTTAAAAAATATTTACTTATTTGGTTGTACCAGGTCTTAGTTGCAACATGTGGGCTCCTTAGTTGCAGCAGGCGGGTTGTGGCATGTGGGTTTCTTAGTTGTGGCATGCGAAATATTAGTTGAGGCACACATGTGGGATCTAGTTTCCTGACCAGGGATCGAACCCAGGCCCCCTGCATTGGGAGCGCAGAGTCTTATCCACTGCGCCACCAGGGAAGTCCCTGTATAGCAAGTTTTATTGAAGCACAGCTATGCTCATTTGTTTATGTAATGTTTATGGCTGTTTTCATGCTACAATGGTGGAGCTGAAAATAGTGGAGAAAGTGTATGGCTCACGATGCCTAAAATATTTACCATCTGGTACTTTACAGAAAGAGTTCACTACCTTTGCTCTAGAAGATCTTTAGTTGATCATGATCACATGATATCAGCATCAGTGCTTGTGTCTATGCTCATGAGGTCAAATGAAGATTTCAAATTAGGTTTTTTTGGAATTTGAAAGTAAAAAATTGAAGAGTGAATTGGATAAGCACATGAGAAATTTGAGAACAAATCATGCAACGTGCAAAAGAACCTGCCCTGAAGTAGACAGAACCGGATTCATGTTGGGGGCCCATGTGTGTGTCTGTGTATGTGCTGACTTGCTGCAGCTCAATAACGACGGCTGTAGTGGTCATGGCAATGACCACATTAAAAACCCTTTTAATTCCATTTCTAATTTCTGTCCCAGAAATAATGAAGTTGATATCCATTTCATGCTGCTTCCAGTAATATCACAATGCTAATTTGTCTTCAATGGAAGACAATCATCTTTACATAATTAGCAGGTAACACCTTATTAAAATCAGCACTGGAGAATTGCCTGCTGACAGAGTTTTCCTTAAGTGTGAGATCTCAGTACCCTAAACCAGCAATACCATGTCCTAATCCAGTTACACCATTTTGTACAATATACTTATGTGTATCCTGGGCAGGAATTCCAGACTCTCCCTCTCAAGGAATTTCAGACTCTCCCTCTACCTTATAGGCCCATGACCCTGGGTGTTATCATTCTGCCTGCTCCTGTCTTGGGGCCGTCAGGGATACCTGGATGGGCTCTACAAGCACCCCTACCCCTACCCTAACCAAGAGCCTGCCCTTGAGGCAGTCTCTGTTCTAGACTCTCCTTCCTTCTTGCTGAGATTCTTTTTGGTGTCCTTTCTTGACTCCTCTCTTAACAGACAACCTCTGTTAAAACCCATTGTGTTACACAGGTCTAATATCATTGATCTTCTCGAGGGAACAGGTGTTAAGTCTTGGTCAGTTTCCTCCTTAGAAGCATCTTGGGTCCATTAACATTTCCCATCTCCTTCCCCCAGAGCTCTGTACCAAGCAGTGTGCTTTGGGAACAGCAGTCCTTGTGACGCCACAAAAATACCCTGTTACATTTTTCACCCAAGACAACAGGGACTCTCAGGAGTCCACTGCGTGTGAAGGATAAACCCTGAGGAAGACTCTGGGTAGTGAAGTCAGAGTAGTGCAGACATTCTTCTCACCCCTTTTACAGGTACAGAAGCCAGGAGAAGTCAGTTGTGCGCTTCTGTCCTTCTGTGGGATGTGAGGGTCCTAATGTACAATTTAGCTAGATGCGATTTGAAGACATTTTTTAAAAAGAGCATAAAGCGCTCTAAGGCAATGTTCATTTCTGGCTTTTTTTGTTACAGCTTTATTGAGATATAACTCACAGACTCGATTAAAGTGTACAATTCGATGGTTTTAGTATATGCACAGAGTTGTGCATCACCACAATCAATTTTTGAGCATTTCATCAACTCAAAACTAAATTCCATATCCGCTAGCTGTCACACTTCAGTTTCTCCATTCCTCTTGCTAAGCTAAGTGTGACACTAAGCTAATTTACTTTTGTCTCTCTATATTTATTTATTCTGGACAATTCATACAAATGGAATATTATAATATGTGTTTTGTTATGTGTGACTTCTCCCTTTCACTTAGCGTATTGTTTTCAAGGTTCGTCTATGTTATAGTATGTATCAGTACTTCATTCTTCTGTATGGCCAAAGAAAATTCCATTGTACGGATATAACTCATTTTGTTTATCCATTCATCACTTGGTGGACATTTGGGTTGTTTCCACCTTTTATTGTAAATAATGCCACTATAA